CATGGGAGCCAGGTCGGGAGGGGCAAGCCGGAAACCGGGCCTTGGAGAAATTACTCTGGGAGGAGGAAGGCCATCCCAGGCAGGAGGGGTGAGCAGCCATGATAGATGTGCTCTGTGCAGACAGCAAGGTGGTGCGCCAAGTACTCCTGTCCTTCTAGAACTTCCTTCCCCTTGATAGACACATAGCTCATTTCCCCAGCTCCTTCAGGTCTTCGCTTGAATGCATCTTCCCGGTTCAAGCCACAGTCGCCTCGCATTCCCATTCCGGCCCAGTCCATCTGCCCTTGTCTTTTTCTCTTTTTTTTTTTCTGTAGCGGTTACCACCTTCTGTTCACTTTACTTCTCTGGTTCGTTTGCTCACGGTTCACTGCCTCCAGAATGGGGACTCCTCAGGGGACCTCTTCGTCTGCTTCCATTGCTGATGTACGGCAAGCCACTAGAAGGGTGCTGGCATATGGTTGAGGCTTAAGAAATATTCTTCCAGCGAATGATCAAGAAGGATAAAGACAGGCAGTGCCATGCTGGAATTAATGGTGTTTGGTTAGGGCAACAGGGTTGAATGACTCCAGGGATGCCTTTCACCTACTGTGACGTAAATAGAGGCCCGTGGTGTTGTGAGGCACAGCAGGCCTTTAAAGTAGACGCACTGATGATTAGTGGGTCATATTCTACTTCTTTCTGTAAAGATCAATGACGTTTCCATAAAGGGAAGTTCTTTGCTATCAACTAAGGGCAGGTGATTAGACCGTATTGACAAATTTTTAAATGTTTTTTTTTTCTTATTCCTGTGAAAGAAGATAAAAATCCAAATTGTCTTTAAGACCCGCCCCGCATGTAACCATTGCTTGTTTTGCGGTCTGAAGGGAGACATGATAAGCCGTACTCATGTGAGGTGTGTTTCTTAAAGACAGTTTGGTTTTTAGGATTCCTTATTTCCCCAACTCATTTCCTCTTCCCACAGCCAGAAAGATCTCACCTCTGCTCATCAGGATTCATAGAGCCCAGTGGTTGTGAAAGCCTGGTCCCCAGATCGACAGTGGCAGTGTCCCCTGGGAACTTGTTAGACGTGTTCCCAGACCCAATGAGTCAGCCACTCTGTGGCACAGCACGTAGGTGTCCTCACACACACCCAGGTTGGAGAACCAGAGTTAGACGTCATCCCCCTTTAGAGAATTTCTTTCTATCTTCTTTACATTCCTAGCAACTAAGAAAATGCTGAAATATACATTGTGTAATTTGTTTTATATAAATAGTTGGGTTTCTTACTCTGAATATAAAACTTTTATGGAGAATGGCATCCCTCCCAGGAGGTCATGCTATATCCCCCTGCCTCACACATTAGATAATTCCCGGACTAGAGAATGCTTAAGAGCCTTAAATAATCCAGGAGGGGGAGAATAATACTAAACTTACATATCATGGCTGCATTTCTGTGCATATGGTCTTCCTTTGGAAATCATGCATAAGTTCCTCAAGGCTTGTTCGGTTTAAGGAGCACTTTCTAGAACCATGCCTAATCCCAGAGAAAACCAAATTACTCTGCCCACAAAGTCGTATGGAATCACACTCTTAGAGACCATGAACACTTGTTGAAGCTAAGGAAGACTTGTCTACCTTTGACTCTGGGAGTATCCATGGCCATGAAATTTCTTGGAAAGACCGAGTTGGTACTGATAACTACAAACCCTAGAGTAATAGAAAGCAGAGAGATGCTCATGTCTATGCTTAGTAGAACATGTGGGCCCCAGATCGCACTGTAACGATGACATATAAATTAAAAGTGATCACCAGAACTCTTTTTGCGCCTTGATTTTCGTCCAATTTTTCTTACGCAGCATGTGTTAGGTTAGTACCAAAATAACAAACATACCTTCCAAAAGCCCTGAGAGGGTTAGCCGTTAATTCATATGGTCTTGGTCAGAGATTCCAATGTGGCAAAGCTGAGGAAATTATAATACAATTATGTCTCGTTCACTACATGTGTTAAATGTTCTTTCTCTGTACTTAGGGTCACTATGCCATTTTCATATTTTTGGACTAAGACGTGGACATATGTTTGTCTCTTTATGAAGCTTGTTGAGATCCAAAAAATGCTAAAGTTACTGACTAGTAACTCACTGATGTTTTGTGTGTGTGTGTGTGTGTGTGTGTGTGTGTGTGTGTCTGGTTTTCTTTCTGATCAGAGTAGGTCACAGTCACTATCAGTGGTGTGCTAGTAGTAGTTAACCAGCTCTCGAGATGAAAAAGGCCCAGTGTCTAGCATTTGCCAATTTCCATGGTGTAAATATTCTCAACCTGACCAGTTTCAGGCTCTCAGGTTGATATCGTCGCATGGACAGTTTGGGAAAGATACACATGAACAGCACTCTTGGATTGGTGCAAGCCAGCTCCAGCACATCGTTGGAATGTAGAAAATTTGGAAAGCAGAGGAAACGATTAAAGGAAAAACAAAACAGAGAAGGGGCGCCTGGGTGACTCAGTCGGTTAAACTGCTGACTTCGGCTCAGGTCATGATCTCACAGTTGGTTAGTTCAAGCCCCGCGTTGAGCTCTGTGCTGAAAGCTCAGAGCCTGAAGCCTGCTTGAGATTCTATGTCTCCCCCTCTCTCTGTACCCCTCCCCTGCTTGCACTCTCTCTCTCTCTCTCTCAAAAATAAATAAACATTTAAAAAAAATTTTTTAACAGAGGAAATTAATTCATACTATTGCTGCTGGGAACAAAACTAAGTATTAATACTGGATTTTATAATATTTTCTTAGGGTATTTTGTCTGTGCATTTTGCGAATGATCATTTTGCATATATAGTTTTGTGTTTTGCTTTTATCTTCATGAACATCAGCTTAATGGTTGCATAATATTCCATCAAACGGAAGTAGGATCATTTATTAACCCTAGTTGTGGGCATGTAAATAACGTTCCCTGGTTATGGGTTTTACCATAAATAATGCTCTATACTATTAGAACATTAGGTATAAATCTTCACCTCTGTGGCTGTTTCCTTAAGATGCATTCTAAGATCAAATGGTTTCAATTAGGGATCTTAAAGGAGTATTCCCAGATACCATGTAGATTCCCAGATACCATCTAGAAAGTTGGTGCCAGTATACACTCCTACCAACAGTGCTTATGAATGCCTCTCACTGTAGTCTCACTACCACTACTACTTCTTTAATGTTTTTGTTAGTTTGATAAGTTTTTTAAAAGTTTTGACAGTGCCTTTCTTTCCAAGTATACTGACCATTTTTATGTTCTCATTTATAGTTTGTTTTTTTAAATTTTTTAATGTGTGTTTCTTTTTGAGAGAGAGACAGAGTGCAAGCAGTGGAGGTGCAGAGAGAGAGAGGGAGACACAGAATCCGAAGCAGGCTCCAGGCTCTGAGCTCTCAGCACAGAGCCCAATGCAGGGCTTGAACTCACAAACTGCGAGGTCATGACCTGAGGCCAAAGTCAGAAGCTTAATGGGCTGAGCCAACCAGGCGCCCCTGTAGTTCTCTTTTTCACACGTTTTCTTCCTGTCAAAGGCTGCACGTGAGGCGATATCTGTGTGCCTCCTGCCTCACTCATTCGGTAATTTCTGGACTAGAGAATGTTTAAGAGCCTTAAATGATCTGGAAGGCCCTTTCCCGGTCTAGTAAACGTACCCCGTCTCTCCTCACTCACATCTCTGGTTCCATCTCATTTCTCTTCTCCAAGACCCAAGCTGGTGCCGCCCCAGTCTTACTCTTCTCTACTGATCCAGGCGCCCCAGGACATATCTGCAGGGCTCAGTCCCTCTCTTTTCCAGGCTCCTTTCCGGAGCCCTCTTCAAGAGGCTCCCCACCCCCTCCACCTAAGATCGCCGTCCCTCCTATCCACAGCTTCTCCCTTCTCTGTGTTTTGCTCTTTCCCACAGTATAAGCGCCCCCTGACATCATCGTTTACTTTACAGGTTCACTGTCTGCTTCCCCTTTAGAGTAGAAGCTCTATACATCAGTATTCTCAGAGCCTAGACGAGCATCTGATGCTCCATACATACTCGTTGGGTGAGTTAGTGTACTCCAGCCCTAGATCTGAAGGTTTAGTTCTGTCCTGATAAAGGCAAAATCAATTCATATGCTGTCTTTAAACACAGAAGACTCTATTTGCAGTATCAGTAACAAATGCAGTTCTTTATTTTTAAGGTTTTTGTCTTTATAGGTTTATATTTTTCTGTAGGTAAACTTCTTGTGATTTTTCCCCCATTCAAATTACACTCACAGAATTCTTTTTCATAAGATCAGATAACTTTTCACCTATTCCTTAGTCTTAAAATTATTTGCTTTTTTTTTTAACATGTAACTCTTTAATATATGAAGACGCATTTTGTTGTTGTGATTAAATGAAGATCTAAATTGGAGTGGGTCATTGTGTATGTGGGTGCGCACACGTGTGTGTGTGTTCACACATGTGCACGGGCAACGGACTGCTGGGCTTTTATTGCTGCTAGTGACGTTAGTTTTGCTTTGAATCGTGCTCTGTAATATTTTAAAATTTAACCTATGTATTGTCTCCTCATGTAAAATCTGTAGGCACCAAATTACAATGGACGTTTTTCTCCATTATCTCTGAGATATTTTCTTGGTCGTACCTCTGTGTTTTAAAAGCACTTCCAATCTGGACCAAATATACTTGAACCTGTTCCTGTTACCACCACAAGTTCTGATAAGATAGAGAGCAAATAAACGGAAATATAATAGGAAGCTGGGTTCCCAGAAGTAGACACCTCAAAGACTGAAGTCAGATCTGCCTCTAGCTGCGTCCTTTTCCGGAATCACCTGCAAGGTGGTATCAGCCCTGGAGAAGTCACCGATCTGTTGATTCTCTGTTAAGCCCAATGACTGACCCACGGTTGTTGCTGTTCAATAAATACTCGTGAGCTGAACTGCATCACATTGAACCTTAGGGCACGATGCCTTTCCGGGGAAGTAGTCCAAGGAACGGCTTTCCTTTCTCACCTGTCTTCTGTTTTCTTCTTCTCCCAGCTGCGGTCCAGCACAGAGCTACATCCCGACCTGCTCACGGACTGCCTCACGGTGCAGCCCCTGCCCTCGGCCACTTCCCCGCGAGACGCCACAGCTGATGGCGTGGTAGGATGCTCCCCCGGGCCCGGACCTGACCTCTATCCAGGTAACGAGGGCCGGCCAAGGCCGCGGCAACGATCCAGCTAAGGATCCTTCGCTCTGGTCAAAGGGAACACTCACATGAGAAAAATTCTCCTAAGATCATCTGTATTTCGCCTTATCCAGGGGCTACACGTTGCCACCCCCCACCCCTGCTCCCCATCTGATTCTTGAGCTGAGCTGGCAGCAGGCCGTTTTTTCTCATAAAGAAACACAGTAAAATAATGCATTAGCTCTTTTAGTTCTGGACTTCTGCCAAAAGTCCAGGGCACCCGGCTTTCCCAGGTATCTTAAATTGATTAACTTGATTTAGACCCAAAGGAAAAGCTTCCCCCATAAGCAAGTAACAGGCTACATGTGGATTTCTTAATGGACCGGTTATTGTCATGTTTGCATTTCAAAAGGAAGCCGCAGGTCTCTCAGAAGAATTTCACATGAGTAAGCCGCCCTGTGAGAATGGTTTGTGGACCCCTGGCATGGGGGGATGGGATGGCCCTCCCAGCCTAGGGTCCTCCCACCTGGGCTTGAATAATAGCTGACTCCATATTTGGAAAATTTCATCTACGTAATGAAAAATAAGGAAGGATTAATATGCAGTAAGGAAGTTATTTTTCTCCGTTGACTTTGTTCGCCCGCAATTTTGTGCATTTTCCACTCTCTGTAACGATTATGTACCTTTGCAGACATGATTGGCCGTCATCCTCACACGTGGAGAGCCCTTGCTGTCGTGCTATGAGTATGAAAGCAAAGGTTCCCCCCCCCCCCAACTTCCACCTTCCAGACAGTGGGGATTATCTATTATCTGTGGATCGCAGGTCCCACAGCCACCCCCATCTGACTCTGGGGCCAGGCTTTGGCAGCAAACTGGGTTGTTGTTTTTTTTCCTTTTTGAAAGTACTCGTAAGCCGTAAAGAGTTAAGAACCTACTGATGCATGACTGTAGGCTAGGAAAAGCCATGTTTGTAGAAAGTTTTTTTAACTGGACAGTTCTCAGTTGATCCAACTTCAGGGCAAAGGGTGTTACGCAAATACTTGGAGAGGGTCCGTCATCAGGACATTCGTAATGTTGTCCCGTTGGTGGTGGCACTTTATCAGTTGCTCTGGGTCCTTTCTTTTAGAGAAAACAAAGCCTCTGCTTTTAGAGACCCTCGGAGATCTGAGGGGCAGACCCCATCTTACAGACGGTTCGGCTACAGGTACATAGACACACATGAAATACACCAGAGTACAGTGTTATCAACTCGTATAAATATTTTGTATTAGATATATACATGAAAAAACGTGACTCGTGTTTGTTTGCACATATGTCTGTTTGATTTGCCAAATATTTGATACAGGAACATTTATTCTAGCACATTAAATTAGCAATCAATTTACGACAGCCGACACAGCATTTCCCTAGTCCTTCAGTCTAGAATTCTCTGACCTTACTCAAGACCTGAAACCCAATAGTTAAGAGTCAGATATAACCAGAATCAATGGAAAAGTGGGCATGTAATATAGAGAGTTTATGGTAATGGGCTAGTCTTACTACATTTAACTTGGAAATGGGTTTGGGAAGCCAGGGTCTCTATCTGTGGAAAACATGAGTACCTTTGCCATGTGTAGCATATAATATATGGCTCACATTCAAAACAGAGGAGTCACGCTTGTCTTGGTGTGTGTTTTGTATGTCTGGCAGTGTAGTTAAAGTTTTTTTTAAAAGATTTATGTTGAACCGGCTTCGTCCCTCCAGACAGAGTTTCATTTTTGCCTCCTGACCCTTTTCTGCATTTGGTCTTCAAAACGATGATGAGCTCCCCACTTTGAGCACCCAGCCGCGGCGGGCAAGCTCCCATGATGGGCAAAGGAACCCAAGCTCCCACAGTGTCAACAGAGCATCTTCAGAGTGACTTGAATTTTCTGTGACTCTGGAAACGTGTGGAACAGGCAGGACCGTCCTGCGTTAACTGTGTTCTTGGAATTCTGCTCCCGGACTTAGCGCACAACTGTGAAAGTTGATGTGCCCTGCCTCTGCCTTCATGCCTGTCTCCCTGGGTCCTCCTTTACTTCCTTTGTCCTTGCTCTTTTGAAACGTTGATGAAGGCTTCTGTTTTGCTGAATACACAGCAAACCCAGAGCAGAACAAAGCAGGATGGAAAACCACACAAGGAAAGTGTTAATCCTTCCTTTAAAAAAAGTGCTAGAAATGTACGTGTCAGAAGTGCACGTTCCTACCACATTCAAACCTGTGCTACGGACCTGTGGAGAGGAGCCAAACGGTGAAAAATGCCAAAGGAAACTGAGGCTGTTCATCAGTTTGTTCAGTGTAAATTCCAAAGTGTTAAGGGAATTTGACAAAGATTAAGACTCGGTTAAACAGTGAAAGCGCTTGGAGCCCTTCCTTTTACGTTCTGTTCACAGAGTGGAGAAAATATTTGTTTAGGGATTGTCAAGCACTTATACTTCTAAGTGCCAGTAAATTGATTAATCAGAAAAATTTTGTGAGGGGAACCTGTTGAATACAGTACGGATGTAGGATCAGAAGCAGTTTAGCAGTGAGCACCAAGATCTTCCAGAAGCCATGAGAGTGAGGACTCATAGTTTGAAGAAGTCATGGTCTGGAAGTGGACCTTTGTACTGGCTTAGCAATCCACAGTTTGTGCAATTCCAAGAGAGGGATGGTTTTCAGAGGAGTAAGGACAGGGGAGGTGGTGGTTCGGACACCTCGAATCTTATAGGCCTCCTGACACGTTGCTTCCCTTACTGAGACAGCGCTTTCAGTTGCTAAGACAGAATTTGGTTGGAAAGGATTGCCTGAAAGGACTTTTGTTTCCATGGAAGGAAACGGTACCCTGGGTTCAAGCGGCCAAAATATCACTTGAGGCCACACCGAGGACTGCTTTAAATTGAGGTGTTTACTTGCCTCCTACCCAAAAATCCCGGGGCTCCCTAGACCCGATCCCGAGCTAACCTGAGAGCAATCTTGTGACCTAATGGGAAGGCCAGGACAATGACGAGCAGTTCTCATGATGGCTCCCTCCCATCTTCTGCCCTTTGGTTCAGGAGTTCTGTGTCCTAGGGAGCTAGATAGTGCTCCAGGCTAGCCTATAAATTTATGTAATTTCTGGGATAATCTGACGGAGAAGTATTTCACAGCCAGGAGATCAAGGAGTTGAATGCCACTGCCGAGGCTTAATGCCTGTGAAGAAGGTCTCATCAGCTTCCTCGATGAACTAATGAAGCAGATGAACGTACACATAGTGAGTCTGCACCACCACAGACAACCTGCTCTTGGCTGAGAGTCTGTTCACTGACAAAGAATGCTGTATCGGCAGGTGATCTGTACCGTAGGTGGTCACAAAGCTTCTGGCTCCTTCCAGATCAACACTGTACTACAGATTCAATAAAACGTGGTCCTTGCAATTGGCCTGAGCCATGAAGACATCGTAGAGGCCAGTGTGGTTGAGATGTTTGAGTCCCATGGAAACCACCCACAAAGTGAGAAGCTAATGCAGCCAGAACAAGGGAATGTTGAAGAATGGTGGGAGTTTATTGCTACTGCTCATACCGAGTTATAAAATAATCATGTTTTAGAATTTGCGAGAACTGTTGAATTTTAAAAATTTTGAATGTAACGTTAGATTTTTTCAGAAGGATATGTAAGTGCGATGCCCAGATATTGTACAAATTGTTGAAGGAAAAATAGACTTTTTAGGGCAGGAGTTTTTGACATCCTGTATTGTCATTCCCTTCTGCTCACCCTTATTATGGGAAATGAAGCCTTCCCACTCACAATATCATCACATTTTGTAATAAATAGCACCATATGAAATCCATGCAAGATTTAACATACTTCATGAAATAGTTAATGTTGCATTTTAATGTAATTTTATGGTATATGTTTTAATACCTTTTCTGTATTCTTAGACTGAATATATTTGCTATCTTGGTCCAGCTTGCAGAATTGGAGGGGCTAGAAATAATTTAATATGCAAGGGCCTAATATGGTCTACTCTCAAAAAGTGGTTTTTAGCTTAGGGACTTTATCAGAAGGCCCCAAACTGACACACAAATTTCCCAATAGGTTAAACTTTACAGAATTGCAAAGATCAAATAACATGATCTATATAAAAACAGGCATAGAGCATTTTTTTAAAATGTAATAGATATTACTTACATGATCTTCAAAGGCAATGATTTGCTTAGAATTCACCAGAGTTGAAAAGGGAACAGAACAACTTGGACCCAGCAGTGGATGGAAGGTGGACACTGGGGTTCCAGAGGTGATTTAAAGGGAAACGTTTGGCATTGCCTTTTCCACATCTCGTCTGATGCTGCTCTGAACTGCTCGTCAAACTATTGTATTGTTCTTAACATCCCGCACATCTGCGGTTCATCTACCACGTTGGATTGGAAAATCAGTAAGGGTAGGAGCAAGCTTCGCTCCTCTCTGTTGCAGGCGCTGATAGTTTTAACCTATAGATTTCGCCTTCCCTGGCCCTGAGCCAGTCTGTTCATGTGTATTGGATCACCTGGAAGACCCGTGAAAATGCAGATTGCTGAGCCCCACCCTCAGACTTTCTGATTCAGTAGCTCTGAGCTAGTCCCAAGAATTTGCATTTCTGCCAGGGATTTTTAACAAACTCTCAGGCCATTCTGGGTCCTGCTCATCCAGGAACAACACCTTGAAAACTACCACTCTGGATCATAAAATGGGGGAGGACGGTTGTAGCAGAACACCGTCTTAGTTTTGACTGGTGGGAGTTACAATAAGAATTGCCCATAATTAACTAAATGGGGGGGAACCTCTCACGATGTATAGATCATATACCAAATCACCACGATGTATAGTTGGAAATACCTTACAATCTTATATGTCAGTATGTCAATAAAGGCGAAACTTTAAAAAATAACAATTTTAAAATTTACACGTGAAAACCATATGGAAATCTGTCCACAAAAGACAGTTTAATGTTATAGCTGATATGCCGTATATTTGCAGTGATAAATAGAATAATGCTTCTC